ATTTCCTCCAACTCAGGTTGAATGATACAATCATGGGTCAGTCTCGCAGTAAGAATGGAGTCACAGGATGAGGTCTGGTGTTGCTGTATTGCATGTGTTTGTCTGCCTTGTAAGGCTAAACCTGCAGAACTATGCATCCCTGTACCCAAAACAAAAAGAAACATAAAAAAATTCAGTTGCATACACTATTTAAGGTGAAAATTTAAGCTTAAACTCACCAGATTTACGGCTGGGCATAGAGGATAGCACCCTCCTCGTTTCGGCTGACCAGTTTTTTCTTTCCAAAGACCTCGTCGGTTTTCTGCGAAGCGATTGTTTGCTTCCTTCACTGCTGCTTGTTGATGTATTGTCTGAAAATGAAGTTAATCTTAAAGCCATTTCTAATGATCAAATATACAAATATAAAAAAATGGTTCTTTGATTTGAAAGCTTTGGTTGAAGTAAATACCAGAGGTGTCTGAGTATTCTGTAATCATTCCCATCTGTATGGCTTCAGGATACCCCAGGACACTGAATGCTGGTTCTTTGATGAGCTGAAAAGAATCCTGCCTAGGCTCACCTTCTTCAATGTTTCTGCATTAAATGGAAAATAATACTGACTAAAAGAAATTCTGCAGTTTTTCAACCAAACAGTCCCTTGCATAACCTTTAATCAAACCGAAAGCAAAAATGTCTTTGGTACAATAGTGGATAAAGAACTTTTATTTCACTGAAGAGCGTCCCTGCAACTTCATTAACTTTTTATACATTATAATGCTGAACAGGAGTAAAGGATCTTAATCTAACGCAAGCCTTTAAAAAGATATATATTTACGCCTTTTTCTAGGTCGACAGAATTTTGGATCAAGATCTCCGATGCCCTTTAAGATGTTGCACTTCCTAAAAAAGAATGCGTCGTACAGAAAGAAGAAAAACTTACTCATAGTCACAATCCTTTTCACAAATGTTGTCATTCAAGTTTCCACCGTACGCCATCGTTAGTGATGATCACAATTTGCTGTAGCTGCCAAACTAACACGGTTCTCTCAACATCTAACAGAGAGCATTGCTGAGGTTGAAGGTTTCTCAGAAACACTTAACATACATCACCGAAGCTTACCAGTTCCTTTTCAAAATGCAAAGCCTCTGCTTAAAGAATGTGTAAAATGTTGCTTCCTGTGATATACTCAAGAGTTAACACTCCTCTGTTTTTTTTTCTGCATGTTTACCATGGAATTGATAGGTCGCTCAAAATAAACCCTGTGTTAAAAAAAGAGAGAAGTAAGTAATTAAAAAAACAGACGGAAAGATCATTTTCAAACATTCACTATCTGAAGAGGTGAAACCATGCTTCCTCTTTCTCACAGCTGGGGCTTATTTGCAATTAGTTAATGCTTGTACATGCATGACCTGCCCTGTTTGGAGGGAACATAGGAGACAAATAAGCTTATAATATTGAAGTTGGGCTGTTTTCACTATTAAAGTCCCATGTCTGTTAGTTTGCTAGAAAGTGGCTGGCATTTTCTATTTAATGTGGCTCATTTCAAAATCCTGAATTCACACTGTAGTCAAATAGTGAACGGTCAGGAACTTCTGCTTCACCTTTAGCGAAAATGAGGGCCAGTAAATAGGACAAAGGTCATTCTATACTATTCTATTCATGCTTCTTCTCACTGCCTATTTTGTCAGGTCCGCGATGAGGCCAATGCCTATTTTTGGCAGTCTATGGGCGAGAGGTGGGCTGCACCCAGCTGCAACAGACTGCCCTCTATTCTATTCTATCCATCCAGGAATTCAGAAGTCATAAGTGCTATAAATGACCTGAGTCATTTTTGACTGAATCCATAAGAGGAGAAGGTTCGCTCTAATGGCTAAGACTTAGACTAGACAAGTTTTATTAACATTATGCATGCACAGAGTGTATACACAACAGTGTTCTGATGCAGACAGCTCTCCAACAGTGAATGAGCAGCTTAGCTGTGAAATGAACATCTCCATTTATAAAGTGCAGCAGTGATCAAACTAACTAACCAGTTTTCTTATCTAAAAATGCCCCTTTACAGATGTCTATGTGACAGACCAGCTTCGGTCTGTTTCTTAGAGTTGGAACTATAGTGTCTTATTTTCTCAGTGAAACTTGGCATTTAAACTTCCTCATTGTGAAAAAAATCAAGCTACCCAAAGATCTTGATCAAAGTTCTTTTTTTGTTTACAGTCACTCTGTTGTCTTGTACATTTATTTTAACGGTATGGTTTTGTTGTTTCCAAAACACAGAAAATCGCTATGTTTTTCAGTTCCTTTAAAAATGACTACATTCTTATGAAGTTATTTTGGCTTTAAAATTCATATCAGGTCAAATGACATATTTTATTGCTCATGTTTCAAAATTAAGGAGTAGGAATTGTAATGAGAAAATATACATTTTCAACGCCAGACATTGACAGAGAGATTGGTGTGGCTGCTGCTTTAATTCAGACGCTTCACCGGTCTGTTGTGGTGAAGGAGGAGCTGACAAAAAAAACAAAGCTCTCCATTTATGTTCTTACCCTATGTTATTAAAATCTAGATCATAAGCGAAAAAACTAAAACCCGGATACAAGCAGGTGAAATGAGCTTCTCCTCCACATTGAGAGGCCAGCTGATGTGGTTCGGATATCTTTTTTGTTTGTCCTAATCAAGTCACCCTTGGGAGGTGTTCCATGCAGGTCCTAACGGGACTAAGCCTAGAGGATGACGCAGGACATGCTAGAAGGACTAGGCTATCTCTAGGTGTCTGGGGAAAAGGAAGTCTGAGAGGCTCTGTTGAGACTGCTGGTCCAGTTACCTGCTTCCAGATAAAGCACAAAAAGACAAGCACAAATTCAGGTCTAGATTCATTTATTGTTTTCAAATATCACATTTATTATTTCACTTGTTCTGCATTGGTAATGATAGCCGTGTACCTGTCATCCCATTGCATGATCTGCAATAATTTGCACCGTTAAATCAAATCAACATCAATATTACATCAAACACTAAAATCAAATGTTCATCACAATTCTAGTCAAAAACATAAATCAACATAATCCTTTGACATCAACTTGATGTTTGTCAAAGATTTTATTGATGTCATTTTGACATTACTTCAATATCACACTTCTTTGACTTTTCACTCAAATAAGGACATTGATATTATTATTTTAAGATTGTGTTTTATGTCACTTCAGCAAATAAAATAATTGATCTTTGTTTAAAGATTATGTTTTAGGCTCTAGTGGTCTTTTGTTATTTTTGAAAGTAGCCTGTCATGATACTCCAAGGGTTTGAACTGATGTATCTATCTACTATTATATTTTTATGTAACAAGCTCATAGTTTTTAGATTCATATAAAAGAAGTAATGGGATTGCAAAGCAGCTCCGCCTTTCTATTTTTATTTGCATATTCAACTAAAATAGATTTGGCGCCCGCTTCTGTCCTTGTCTGTGTAAAGCAGTTTAAAAAAAAACAGTGCACCACAGGTGGTAAAGCAGTAGGGGACATACAAATAAAGAGTAGACCCCGCATTGACGGTCGCGGCGGAGGAATTACGGCGGCCAGCTTGGGGCGGTCGAACTTCTACCCTATCCCGCTGGTTTAAAGCTACAGTGTGTAATAATTACAGGGATATAAAGTGAGAAATGTAATATTATACATAACTATGTTATTTATCATCATCTACGAGCTCAGCCTCTTAACCTTAATATTTGTGTTGCCTTAGAATTCCTTATTTATAATTACATAGGAGCGGGTCTCGCAGCCATGGAGGCAGACATCTTTGCGCTACGGCAGCGCAGAGCCAACAAACTAGCGATTGCGAGACGCTCGAAAGTAACTACAGCAAGTTGAGAGAGATGAACTGAGACAGTACTGAACAATAGATGGCAGTATTATGCCTGAGAATGCTATCTGTAAAATTATCTATGTAAACAAACCTCATCACAGAAGGTAGGTGATGCGGACGTCGTGGAAGACATTTTGTCTCGTAACGCTCGCCGTACTGTTGGGGGGGAGAAGCGGTGGGGAGGAGATGTTCATGTTGCTGCGGTCTGCAGTTTGGATGTTAGATGTCGCTGAAAATTACACACTGTAGCTTTAAGCTGGTCAGATGAATGATGCTTCAACACTGTGCACTTTTTTCTGTTTAAATCGACGGACTATTGGGTCAGGGCTTGATGGATAACTTTCCACAAGTCAGATGAACAGAAGATGATTTATGAAGATATGGCTGCACCACATTGCCAAAGTCACCACTCTTGAACTCCAGAAGGGGAACACAAGAAAAAAGCTCTGCAAAACAGTCCTTTTTCAGGGCTTTTAGCTAATATTAGAGAGATGTATATATATATATATATATATATATATATATATACATATGTATGTATGTATGTATGTATGTATGTATGTATGTATGTATGTATGTATGTATGTATGTATGTATGTGTACAACCATGTGTTTGTATATGGTAGTAAAAAAAATATTAAAATGTGTGAGTGGCTGTTATTTGCAACATACATACATCCTGTCTGAATATTACATTAGTTTTAACCACACTAAGAATATTTAAATGCACTGAACCATTTTGGTAAATTATCTATAGTTTTAAAGTTTTCAGAAAAAAACAATGTGAAACTTAGTTCAATATTCAGCGAGTTAAAGTTGATTAAAATTAATTCTGTGCCTGGTCAACACATTACACTCAGCAGAGCAGTCGACCGCCCCAAGATGGCGCCCCTAAATCTCGTCAGCCACTACAGGCGAGAGCGGTCGATGCGGGGTCTACTCTTTATATATGTCTATGGTAGGGGACGTTAGTGGTTTATTCTAAAGTATAGGGCTATCTCATCGTTTACTGGGTCCTGAAACTGAATCTTATTTAGATTGAAATGTTATATAATTATAACTTTGCCAGACTGTAGTACAGGTGTAACGAAGAAATTGCAACATATCAGTATTGAACATATCTTAGTTCCGAGTGGTTCCTTAACGCATCAAAAAAGGGGGCGGTCTTCAAAAAGTTATCAGGAAGCAGATTGACAAATTGAAACTCCTCTGGAACTTAGAGAGGAAGAAAGTTTACAACTAATCTTTAATTTGTTTGCCATTGTTTTTTCGGTGGGTTAAATCATGCAGGGCAGCGCGTATGGGGCCTCTCTGGCCGGCGGGGCCTTTGACTTTGAAAGTTTTGTGAAGAAACCGCAGACTATTTTGCGCTTCCTGAGTTGGGTGAGTGACCTGAACTAAACGTTAACGTTAGCAACCGTCACATCACAGCCTGTGGTAACATATGTCCGCTCCCACCATTCACAGAGAGATGTTTATTAAGCGTCTTGTTGTTTCTGTGTGCTCACTAAGTCGCACAAAAATGATATTCTAACTTTAAACTATTTATAAACTTTTTTAAAACGTATAAGTAATCAGTGTCAGCTATCGTAGGTTCATAGTAGCTTGTAGCTAGCATGTCCACTGCTGTGTCACTGTAGTAAAAGAGCCAAACACTTTGGAGTTGTTCACTACTTGATGCTTTGAAGGTGCTCTATTTCTATTTTAAATAAAATAAAATTCTACATTAATGTACATTGTTGTTCTGTATTGGTAGCTACTAGGAATAGAAAGTTTCCCAGCGTCATCTGTTGCTTCCTGTCTGCCTCCTGACTCCTACACACATGCTTAACATAAGAGTGTATGTTTATTATTTTTATATTATTATTATTGTTATAGAATAGAAAATCCTGTTATTGTCCTACAGCGGGGACATCCTGGTGATTACAGCAGCAAAAAGATTATAGAAAAAATTGTTAACACAAATGTGGACCTTAGAAAAGTGTTTAAGAATAATATAATAGTAACGAGTTTGAAAATAAAGTAACTCCATGCAGAAAGACCAGAACCTTCTTGCTGCAAGGCAGCAGTGCTACCCACTGCGACACTGAGCAGCCTTATTATATATATATATAGTATGAAATTGTGTTATATTAAACTGGTCCTATAGTCACTCTATTACAGATGTAGTAATGTAACGAAAGTAATTTCTCCCTGGGATTATTAAAGTATTTCTGATTCTGATTCCTGGTCGATGGGACAGGTGTTGTGAATGAAATGGTGCCCAGCTTGAAAGATCTCCTGTGTGATGCTGAATGTGTGCATTGATGACTGAAAGACATCTTCAATGCCCCATTTACTACGGGTGTTGAATTCACATTGATGTGTATTTAAAGACATTTCAATTAGTGGAAAAAATTGCACAGGGGAATATAAAAAAAAAAAGTCTAATCAACCAAAACTGTAGCACCCCCATGCAGTGCCTCCGTGGACCCCCTGTTGAAGACCTCAGCAATAATGAGTATTTGAAAAATGGCAGCAACATCAGAGATGTGCAAGATGACAGCAGCGTGTCATTTAACTGATTAAAGTAGAAACTACAAAATCAGCCTGAAAGTAACAACTTATTGGGGTTGTTGGGAACAGTGGTGGTTTTAGAGTCTTACAGCTGCTGGGCGGAAGGATCTGTGATAACACTCCCTGGTGCATTTAGGGTGCAACAGTCTGTCACTGAAGAATCTTTCCAGTTCTGTAACTGCAAAATGCATGGGGTGGGAGACATTATCCAGCAGAGATGGATTTTTTTTCCTTTGCATATCTGCATTAAATAAAGTGAACATGACAAGTGCGAGCATTGACTGTTATATGAGAAGCACTCATGGCAGGAATACCTTTTACAATATATTACAAGACATTTTAAATGGCAGTATTGGATATAAATAAAAGTTCTTATTCATTCTCTAAGGTCAGTTTAGAGGGACCAAAGGGCTTAACAGTGATGCTCTTGGACTGTGGGGGGGATTTGAAGAGAATGGTAACAAGGAAGAGTATGAAATCTAAACCGAGAGAGGTTGGAAACTTTCAAGGCAACTACAAAACCATTGTTTTAAGTGTTTTGGTTGTTTATTTTGTCACCATTCTAGTAATCATTCAAACTTTTTAAGAATAAAAAAAAAACATGAAATTGACTTTGTATGACTATTGATGAGAAATGGTCAAGAAAAAAGTAATTATTCATAAAATGATTGTTTAATGGCAGAACATTAAAACTCAACATTGTGCCCTGAGTCTAAACGATACTCTGCATGCAAATAGATACTAGAGATGTGAAAGACGTGGTTAAAAAGGTGCTAAGAAATTACTTGCAGACCTGTTCCTCCTTTTTTTTTTTCTTTTTTTCAAAGGGCAAGGAATTGAAACTTACAAGAACAATCAGCCTGCTTGATATAGAGGATATTTTTTGTTTTTTGTGGCTTCCATGAATGACCCACTTCGTTTCTTTATTCCAGGTATTTTCCATTGTGGTTTTTGCAAGTATTACAGCTGAAGGCTACATTAACAAACAAACACAACAAGATACCAAGTGCATGTTCAACAACAACGACTCTGCCTGCAGCTACGCCGTGGGAATCGGAGTCCTGGCCTTCTTGGCTTGTGTTGCTTTCCTGCTACTGGACGCCTACTTCCCAAATATTAGTAATGCCAAAGAGAGAAAATTCATCGTCATGGGAGATCTGGTCTTCTCAGGTAGTAGAAGGGGGGGTTATATTGTTTTTTAATGGTAACCTGGTTAATTTTCTTTCAAAGATGTCAGTGTGAACAAAAAAAAAGAAAACATTTTAACAACTTAAGCAATGTTTAAACCCTTTTGTGTTTCAATTGTTGGGATAGCATAATGGAACAGTTTTATTGTAGAATAAAAAATATATCTAAAAGGTTGATCAAGGTAATAGAAAAATGATTAGGTCTAGTATTCACTTGCAGTTTAGATAGTGTGCTGTGCAAGCTGCAACTAAATCATTAAGACAGTCCCAGAAAATGCAGATTTTAAAGCTTTGATTTATTAATGTAAAAACTCCAAACAAGTTTTTAAAGGGGTCATAGAATGCAAAACCGAGTTTACATTGTCATAGATGAATGATAGTCCAGTGGGTGAAATGGAGGTAAAGAGAAGTTCAAACCCCATCGACACCTCCTTTCTCTGCAAATCTCACAATTCTAAACTTCCACCATAAAACGGGCGAAGTCAAACAAAGCCCTGAATTGACGTCAATTTGGATCCGCCATTGTCCACGCCACCGTCACAGGGTTGGGTCGGGTCGCTCCGTCTCCCGCTGGCTCCCTCATTCTACTCCGTGCTGCACTGCAATCGACCAAAATCCCGGACGATTTTGAAATGTCTCCCGGACATTTTATCAGGTATGAAAAGTAGAACATGTCTGGGGAAAAGGAGGACGCCTGGTCACCCTACCATATCAACAATTTGATGTTTCAGTGAGTGAGTGCTTGTTGCTATAATGCATCTTTTCCAGCAGCTTCACTCGTTGTAAACCAACCAATCAGCACACAGCTCATCTAAATATTCATGAGCATACCATAAAAGGAAAAAAAAACTTGTTTCATTCTAGGGCTTTTAACCAGGCTTGCATTAGGGCGCAAAGAACTGCAAATATGCCATTTTCAGCTCAACCAATGTTACACACCCTATTAAGCGACCTTAAGGACCCACCGACTACCCTATAGAATCATTCTATGACCCCTTTAAAAAAACTAATTGAAAAAATAAATACTTAAAACACACTCCCGAAATGTGGTTAACATTTTGGGAGTGTGATAAACTACACTTTTTTTTTTTTTTATGTCTTCAAAGGTCTTATGCAACTGATAAAAGACAAAAATCTGTGCAAGTGTTTTTGCATTATGATTTTATAACTAAATATTACATTTATTTCATTATTTGCTTCTGAGAAAGCCAAGTTTTTTTTAAATATAACTAAGTGGTATTTAGGTTTATCCTCTGTTTTGGCAAAGAAACACCACAGCTGTAAGTTTCTTAATGCTTTTACTACATCATCTAAATGACAACAGTCAACAGCTTTTATGTTTAGCCATCCTATCAAACCTAAAAGTTATCTTGTCACCAAAAATGTTGTGACAAGCACCGTTTTAGATGTGATGTGTTTTGCTATCCCAATCTAAGGTAGGTTTCTAAGCTGTTTGAGTGAAGAAAATTGAAATATCTTTTTTGAAATGTAAGCTTTCTCTACTTTTTAAATCATGCATATGCTGTCTTCACTAGACCCTGTTTTTCTTATCTTTTATTTCTTGTCCTTTAAATAGCGTTTTGGACATTCCTGTGGTTTATCTGCTTTTGTGTCCTGGCCAACCAGTGGTCCAAAACTGATGCCAAGTTTGTCATGGCTGATGCTGCCAAGGCTGTGATCGCCTTCTCCTTCTTTTCTGTCATCACCTGGGTGAGTCTCTAGATCACCTCTTCAGAGTTCGATCATGTTTAGATTTCTGTTCTACTGAAACTTCCTAACACAAACATCTCTCTACAGAGTCTTTTGTCCTACTTTGCTTTCGGAAGATATCGCCAAGGAGTGAGTGACTTTAACCAGGATTACACAGACCCCGCCCAGGATCACACCTCTCCGTACCCACCTGCCCCTTCCAGCTACCAGCAGGCGCCTTTCACCAACAACCAGGCTCAGCCGGGAGAGTATCAGCCTCCAAACTACTGAAGGACAGATTTACTCACATGAATCCTAATGGGAGGGGGGATTCTTCTTAAAATAAACAAAAAAAAAAAAAAAAAGGCACTTGTACCAATGATTTTGTTTAAAATCAGCACTGTCCACGGCACTCCCCTTTTTCTGGCATATTTTTCTGGGCACTGACTTTCAGTTTGCTGCTTTGTGGCTGAACTTTTGTTTGGTTGATGTTTTATTGTAATGTTTGACAAAAATTGCCCCAAAAGAAAAATACAAAAGATTGACTTAAAACTAAAACAGCTCTCATAGATCAAACCTTGTGTCAATTTTATTTGCAAATCAATCTACTTAGATTTACTCGTACCTTAAGAAATGCATTCTGTATTTAAAAGAAGGGGAAGTTTTCTTTGAATATGTTACTGTTCAGCACATTTTTTTGGTTTGCTCATGTTATGTGATGGTGATCCACATTCAAGTTTAGTTTAGAAATTATTGTTCTAACAATAAATGCATGATTTAATAAACAGGTTTTCTTTTAAATGTACCTACTTGAGCTACTTATCTTTTTTTTTAACTATCCACAACAAAAAAGCTTTAATTCTCAAAGTATTTTTTATTTTGCTGTCCAAGGGATCTGCCTTTAGCCTCAATCGTTACTTTTTTCTAAGTGTATGGTTTAGATTTGCGATTTTATTTTTGCATTTTGCCCTAAGCTACCTGGTGGGCATGTTTTTGGTTCAAGTTTTCAGTTTTTAGCATATATTTTTTTGGGAATCTGATCTGAAAAATTGAAGATGTATTTAATTTGCGGGTGTCTGACACTGCAATTGATTATTTTCTTGTTTGTTAATTGAATCTTTTCACTGTTCTTATTCAAATAGATTGAAGTACATCTGGTGAAGTGTTTTGTATCAGATGGGATTTGCCAAATAAAAACTGCTCCAGGTTCTCTTGTCAGCCCATACATGATATCCTGCTGTGTGCTTCTTGTGCAAATATTTGTGTTGAGAAGCATTACACAGTAAAGGGGGGTATATTTTGTTTGTTTCTGTTAGGAAATAGGGGAAAATAGAAGCTAATTGATACATTTTTATTATTAAGTGTAATTAAATCCCATATAGAACAAACAAAAGGATTTGTATGTACCAGTATTATGCCAGGTGATGGATGTATTTATACATGATAGGATGAATGCACCTGTTGTCAGATAAAGATTGAAGATGGTCAAAAGGCAGCCAGAGTAGGTGGAATATGATTTCTGAACACAAAGACTGTCAAACCTCGAATCAGATAGGTTACCGCAGCATCAAACCACAACTGGTTTCATTTCTTTCAAACTTGAAGCTACAACACATCTCACATCTGCCGATTTTACTTCAGCATTTACATTTTCAGGTGACAAAGAATTGGTCTTATTTGCATGACATGTTTAAGATTCTTTGCAAAAACAATGTGTAAAGTTCTCATGCAATTTTCATAGTTCAGTGCTTTGCCCAAGGGCAAGTAGACATACGAGGCGGTAAGCTGGAATCAAGACATCTATTCTAAATAAAGCAGTTTGATGGATCGACTATCAGTACATCTCACTGTAGTAAATATGTTTATTTTATAAAACTTGTCTAAAATGTTTTTTGCAGTCAGTAACATGTATTTGTAGCAAACAAGAAAAAAAATTATAATTTGAGGTAAGGAAAGTAGGCAAAATTTCGATTGCACCTGAACGCAACTGGTACATTTCTTGTGACATAGAGGGTTAGAAGCCCGACTCCTCTTTAAGATCCTATATATTTGGCACAATTCTTTATGGCCCTAAACAACTCTTCGTTTCTAGCTAATTCTAACGGATATCGATGGTATATTTTTATAATGGTTACGTTTAAATCCAAAAATTAATGAAAACTGTGTCTTCTGTCATTTTATTGAAATCCATCAACTTCCAATTTTGATGGAAAGGAACTGGCGCGCCTAGTCGGCTCGGTTACGAACCACACATCAGTTGACACGTCGCTTTCGTCATCGGTCATGACAGGAAGTAGGGACCGCTTGTGAGTAAAGAAGGGAAAAGGAAGCGACGTGATAATGACAACCGAAGCCTGCTGTCAAATGAGGATTTAAGATCTGAGGTGAGTTTTATAGATGTTCCTTTAGTCATATGGGATTTATCACGGCATAGTTGCTTTTAATAAGCTATATGGCAGAACACAAAACCGGATAACATAGCTTTAGAGATGTGTGTGTGGCAGTGGCGAACATATGTCCGTCCCTTTACCTACAAACTACGTGAACACATCAATATGTAACATTATATGACTTCCTTCTATCCTTCCTAACAGCCTATATTAAGCTTTTGTAGTTTGTATCTTTGGTTATTTAATATTACCGTCTGTAATGAGTCCCGGATATAAACCTGAAACGTCCTGGAGCAGAGCACTAACTGGACAACACATCCATTAAATTGCCTTCATCACTTCAGGTGTCTGATAGGTAAACGACTGAATGTTACCTTCACGGATGCCGTTCCGTGTTGGAAGTTTTAGCTTCAGTTGATTCAGAATCAGCTATATTGGCCTGGTTGTATAGAGAATAAAGGGATTTCTAATTAAATAGGAAAACTTTTTAGAAAATAATAATTGAAGTTCATTGATCTCACATTGGAGAAATTGACCTCTGCATTTTGGCAGTATCTGGAAATGAGTTTCGAACTCACAACCTCAGCATTCCAAGCTTTATGCCCTAACCACTAGGCCGCCACTCCCCCAGATGCATTTCCAAGGAGGTTGAAATGAGCAGTATGTGCATATTTGCACATGTGTGCGTAGTCATTTGTTTTTTTAATGTTCAAATAAAGTAAACATGGAGGTTGTGATTGAGCCAAAATGATTTTTTGTTTGTTTCACAGCAGTGTAGCCAATGACAGGCTATGAGGTGTTGATTGTGTTAATCAGAGTAACTGTCCAGGGGAAGAAACTCTCTCTTCCATTTTCCAGATTGTCTGCCGAGATGACAGTTGTGATCCTCTCTGCAGTTGGGATCTGTTTCATTTTTTGAATGAGAAACGCAACGATGGACAAACTGGCAGCATTTAGTCTGTCGATATGTGAAAGTTTATGAGCTGCCTTTTTTAGAATATTCTAATACAATTTAATGCAACCCCAAACCATTAGAAAAAAAAAAAACATTTTTATTTAAACAAATAGTCAAATAAAAGTAACAAAAATCATTTTATAACATTATCAACATGCTATATTTCACCAGGAAAAAAATGTACCATGTGATGTAAATTCTTTTTATTTATAGACTTGAGTAAAAACAAAAAACCGGTTGTTTTTTAAAGTCTTTTTGTACAGCATGTTATATCGCTTTGCCTTTCTGTTGCAAACTGATGCTAGCTGGTTATTTAGGCAGATATGCTTCAAGGATCATATCAACAAGCGTTGCTTTACTAAAAGCAACATGTGGTTTTGTATTTGTAAAAAAAAAAAAAAAAAAAGAAATCCTTCTAAGCTAAGGAAAAATGTCTGGATTCCCCTTAAGCCAGGAAATGCAATGTACAGGGAAGGCTAAAACTAAACACTACACATTTGGGATCTTATTTAGTGGAAAACTTTCAGTATTTTGAAAGTGTAGAGTTTTTAAAACCTTCGTTAAACCTTAATAGGCTAACTAATCCTTGCATATTAATCGGTAAAAGTGAAAACTATTTTTCCCCAGCTTAAAGGAATAGTACACCCAAAACATGATTAGCCTTCATTTTGCTGTCTGCTGACATTCAAATAATGGAGGTCTATGGTGCCTGAGACAGAAAGGTCCATAAAAGTCCACAAAAATGTGTCAATATTCCTCCATACTGCTCGTCCAATGTATTCCAAGTGTAAATTTCGAGTAAATTCTGGATGCTACCCACTCAGGACACTTGGAATACATTGGACGAGCAGTATGGAGGAATATTGACACGTTTTTTGTGGACCTTTATGGACCTTTCTGTCTCGGTCACCATAGACCTCCATTATTTGAATGTCAGCAGACAGCAAGAAGCCTCCCAGATCTCCAGATGCACTTGAGATATCAAAAAAGTACTCCAGGGTGTTGTTCAGCATGGGGGTGAGTAGAAAATGAAGGCTAATCATGTTTTGGGTGTACTATTCCTTTAATCTCAGCTGGTGTACATCAAACCCCAACATACTGCATTTTCATCATCTTTGGTGAAATTAATGAAAACTTAATTAACCTAATTGTCTACAAACCATAGTGAATACGCAAGACTTAGTAAATATTTGCTTAATAATGTGCTTCTAAAAATGCTGAAAAGAGCCCTCAATCAGCAGTGAGTCCAGTAGAGGGCAATATTTGATTTAATTCCGATTAGGCTGTAAAATCACCTCCTGTCTCTGATTCTTTCTCTGAAGTTGGTTGCAGCTTTCTGTGAATGGAGGTGAGCTGCAAAAATTTAACTTGCATGTAAAAACTACATCTAATAGGGGGTGTTTATTTATATCAACCAGCAATAGAGAGGTTGACAACCACTGTTTTCATCACTCAAGTTGTTTATTTGTTTGTTTTTTGCCAGAACAGCTCAATGATCTTACCACATCTCGGTTTGTCCTACGGTTTCAGGAACTGAAAAGCAGACATGCAGGTCTTTAGGTCATGTGTTTCTTAGTAATGCATCAGATTGTCAAATTGATAGTTGATAGCCAAACCTGTTATGTTGTTTTTGTCCTCCTGAAAACAAGGGAGTGCAATCAGAAAAGATTTAATTGGCACATATGAAGTTCTCACTAATTTTCTTTCCAAAACCAAAAACTAAATGTATTGATTCTTAATTCGTCTATATTTTTCTTTTGTGCCACATACTGCAGACTGGCCTCACCATAACCCTGTGTTGAAAGAAGGCACAAGATCAAACCTCTGCAAAAGGCTTATTTCACTTCTCATGGTTTAAGTTTCTAAACTTATGAATAATTTTTATGTATTTTTCTTTCAATTGCTTGGGGGGGAAAAACACAATTCCCCATAAAATATACTCTGATTATAAAACATTCCTTGTGTGCCCTTTGGATACAGACTAGAATTTCCTTCTGACCCAAAGCCTAGAAGTAGTTGGTCAGTAATTGATAGAGGGTTCTACAGGTCAGGAATATGGACTATGCTGTTCCAAACAGAGTGATCTATGGCCTCAATAAGCTCACGCCGTTCAGAGTGATGGTTGCATCACAGCGACAGCCCTCTTATGTAAAATCCATTCAAAGATTTGCGTTTGTTTTCTCCTTACCAAGGTGCCGCATTTCACCTCTCACCTGCTTGTGCTCTTGTTCAGACTACAAATGCCTCCCTAACCCCTCCTCCTTTATGGATTACTCTGATGAATTATAACTAATTAAACCAGCTTGGTCAAGTTAAAGATTTGCCCCTTTGCACTGGGTGGTAATCTTCCCAGTGTAGGCAAAGTTCACAAGCTTTGTGCTTAAACAGCTCGCAGTCATGGCTGCACAGCAGACCGTCAGGGAGCAGAGGGAGAGTTTGGAGCTCAGATCTGACTGCGGGGGTCTTCTTTGGCGACTTCAATGACTCAGGTTAAGAACTCTGGAGGGCGGAGGCGAAGAGGTAAGATCAGGTTTTTGTGTGGGGTTGGAGAGGAGCTGTTGGTGTGGCCCCTGATGCCGCGGATATAATGGGCCACTCTCTGGCTGGGATCCCTGTAATGAAAGGGGCTTTCAGATTGGGGTCCCATGTTGGAAAAATGCAGGATGTGTTTAGGCCGAGTCAGAAGCTCCCAAAGCAAACAGAGCTTCTGCTCATATTTACAGAAATCCACATATTCTTATTAAACCAATGCTCCAATAAGTTATGTCCATAAGATCTAAAAAAAGAATCCACATTTAAAGAGATCAAATCAATTACATTTATTTGGATTTTTTTTTTTTAAAGGCATAGTTGTAGTTTATATGTATGTTAATGTGAGTGCAGCACCCCCCACTCTCATTGGCTTTAAAACCGTGGAAAGAGGTTAAAGGTTAAATGTCATTAATAAGTCATTACTAAAATCCACCATTTAAAAACAAAAAAGTTTATTGTTTCGTATAGTCACACATCTGAATAAAATCGAAAAGAAATTTGATTTTAGACATTTCTGTTTGATATGAAGGATTTTTAACAAATTTGTTACCCTGGCAACAATTTCAAAGTCAAATTAGGCAGCTGGAGCAGTATTTCTTGGTTTACCCAAGGGGACCTTTAGATGTGATCACCTCCTCCTGATCTCCATGCAGACGAAGCGCATTGGTAGCTGCTTTGATTTTCGCCCCACCTATTGCTGCACCTTTCAGAAAAGTTAACTATATGCAGCCTGGACTGAAGGCTGGACTCAGAAAGAAGAGGGTATGAAAGTAATACTAGTGATGTTTAAAAAGACGTCTGGACAAAATGTATTTCTTAAAGTAAAGCTAAAAAAGAAATATGTTCATTTGTACATAAAAAGTTCAGAAAATAAGATATTACAGAATAAGTCATCATCTTTATTTAAAAGACATTTTCTTTGCTCTTTTTTTTTATTTGTTCATTGGATCTCTGTCATGAAGTGTAATAGCGTCTACTTGCTGCTAAGAAAACAGGTGTAGCCACCACTTCGTTTGTGATGAGTTGGCAGGAATAAGGATCAAATCAACATGTGCTTAGAAAGGGTAATTAAACAAAACAAAACAAAAAGCAAGGACAGAAACTTGTGTAACCAGAATGGTAACAACCAGCATCCTGTCAACTCTACCGGTAGAGCCTGATCTCAAGTCTGTCTCAAGAAATTTTAATATTCTTGAAAGTTGAAGGTATTTCAGTAAATCCTTTCAAAATGTAAATCTAACATTCCTTTCACCATGTGTGATAAAGAAATGTGAGAAGAATATTTATGTGACTGTGCACTGAAAATGGGTTTGGGTTTTCTTTTTTTTTCTTTTTTTTGCATGATTTGTTGCACCATTGCAGAATAAGATTGCGTAAACAGCATGTAGCTCTGCTATGGCGTTGAAGTCAGTGGTACACAAATGGGGATAATTGACTTTTGACTAGAAAACAAGAGACTGGTTCAGCATCTCTTTAGCTTAGATAGGGAGAAATAGACCATTTAAAACTGTCTCTAGCAGAGGGGAGCTTGGAGCCAAGGAGTCGGTTGTGTCCTTTGTTCTGGATAACAATCACTCTGTAGGAATCCATGTTTCTTTGTGACATATTTTTCTTCTTAACTTTCCATTAAAATGGTTGGAACCGATTCTCTAGTGAACAGCCCAATTTCTTTGTGATTATATTTTATGGCTAACCCTCCTTGTAGATAACGTCAGTGAGCCTTAAAACCTGTCAAGCCAGCAGTTTTCCCTGTGATCATGTCTGCCACGTGGCAGAGTGACAATAATATTTTTTCGTTAACATGAAAAACTATTGATTGGACTTGTTTAATATTCTGTTTGTTGTTTTTTTTAAGGAGCATAATTTTATATACCAGCCATATTCATCAAAGTTAAAATAAGTACTTTAAATGATCTGTGTCTAACAAAAAAACTTTTATTTTGTTGACCTCCTTCATTGAGAAACACCCAAACAGGCAGGCTTACTGTAAATTTGAACGATAATGTTGATAAGTTGTTTGAGTTGTCATCCATCTCTCTCCGTAGGTCACTCCAGGCCTCCGTCCTCCATGCCTGCCTCTCCAGGCTACACTCGACTGGAGCAGAATGAGTCTATGAACCCGTTGCGTATCTCTGTAGGAGGCCTCCCCATGCTGGCTTCCATGGCCAACCCCACCGACCCCCGTTTCAGACTCAAGTGGCGGCCCATCGTGGCTGTGACACTCTCCCTGGCTCTGGTTCTGCTGCTCTTAATGCACTTCAGCTCAGGCCGCTCGTACGCCTCGCAGGGCTGGAGACCCTGCCGCGGAAGCTCTGTCAGAGACACTGATTCACAGTACAACGACACTTACCCTCTGACTCCGCCAGAGCGTACGTCACTGGGGATGCGCTACCGCATCGGGGTCATCGCTGACCTGGACACAAACTCTGCCAGCGAGAAGAAGCTGACGTGGTTCAGCTACATGCGGAGGGGGTATCTCCTGGTGTCACAGAGTGGAGATAAGGTGGCTGTTGAGTGGGACACAGACAGGGTGGTTCTGGAGAGCCACCTGTCAGAGAAGGGGCGGGGCATGGAGCTGTCTGACCTGGTGGTGTTCAATGGCAAACTCTACTCTGTTGATGACAGAACGGGCATCATCTACCACATAGATGGAGACAAGGCTGTGCCCTGGGTTATATTGACCGATGGGGATGGAAGTGTCGCCAAAGGTATGAGGATGGACTTTTTCCATGCAGTAATATTTTAAACCAAAACAAGTAATTTTTTATTGAGACTTCCAAGGACAAGAATGTGTTTTTCTTTTGGCTTTGAAGATTGGTTTAGGGAAAGGTAACCTTTTTGATCAGTACTTTGTCAGTTAAATGTAGTTCTGCTTTTTCTTGGCAGGGTTTAAAGCGGAGTGGCTGGCAGTAAAGGATGAACATTTGTACATCGGTGGTCTTGGGAAGGAGTGGACGACCACCGAGGGCGAGTTTGTCAACAACAACCCAGAGTGGGTGAAAGTGGTAGGGTTCAGGGGCGATGTGCAACATGAGAACTGGGTTCCCCGGTATAAATCCATGAAGCTAGCTGCAGGGATCGAGCCACCAGGTGAGGAAGATTTGCCTGGGGGATTCTTTTGTTCCCACTTTCTTTCTCTTCCTTTGCTTCATTTACTCTTCATTTGTCTCCGCAGGGTATTTTATTCATGAGTCGGCCGCCTGGAGCGACTCCCTCCAGCGCTGGTTCTTCCTCCCTCGCCGCGCCAGCAAAGAACGCTACGAGGAGACGGCGGACGAGCGCCGCGGCACCAACCTTGTCCTGAGCTGCTCGCCGGACTTTAAAGACATCAAAGTGAGCCATGTGGGGCCACTTCTTCCCACTCACGGCTTCTCCTCGTTCAAGTTCATCCCCAACACGGATGACCAAATCATTTTAGCGCTCAAGTCTGAGGAAGACGCGGGAAAGATTGCGACGTACATCACAGCCTTTACACTTGACGGACGCATTCTTTTGCCTGAAACTAAGATTGGTGATGAGAAATATGAAGGGTTAGAGTTCATATAGAGGGCTCGGAGATGGAGATCATAGCTCTGGAGGCCAACGCACTGTGGTGCAAGTTTGTTTACAATCCAGTCACTGCACACTTACTGCTACCCAGAAACCCATCTCTCATGTCTCTGAAAGGTTGTCTTGTGGGTTCTGGGATTGTGTAAGACCGTTCCAGCATTGTCAGCCAGTTTAGTGGGGGATGGATTTTGACAGTACTGTAACTTTTGTTTTAATGAATGTATAGAAATGATTTATGGAAATGTTGTTTGGGTTCTTTTTTCTTTTAGTAAATGATGCACATACTGACTAACGTTATATATTTGTTTTCCTTTGCTCCGATGTGAACACTCGACACATGTATTTTGTCTGAATACAATCTGAAGGATGATTTTTTTTTTTTTTCTTTTTTTTGAAAACTGAAATTGTGCTCTATGGGATTTTTTTCTTTTGTTTAAGGACTGGAGGGGGCTCACAGTAAAATATTGGTTCCTATTTTCTGAATCTTGTCTCTTTACTTGTGCGCTTGGGAGGGTCAGATGTTTGCAAATGTGTTTAGGAAAAAATAATTTGACCCTAAACAACTCTCAGATCCCTGCGGAGTTGTGCAACAGCTTTCTGGTTCTGCTTTAAAGCTAAATGAAACTTAGAGATTGTGGGAGTAGGCAAGAACAGAGAGCAAATATATCCAGCATCCCCCACTGTCCCCACTCTTTAGCTACTGTGAAGTTTAAGCAGACCTAAAGAGGGGACGCAGTGGAGACTTGGACGGAGCAAAGGTAGGTGTCTTTATTAGAGATGGCTTGATATACAGATATATAATCTTTAGATGTATATTTATATTAATGCATTGCAGTCAGAATGTTTTATTGACTTAATCCAACTAAAAAGTCTTTATTTTTTTTGTTTTGTTTTGTTTTACTTTAGGATTTAAACATGTTGCCTCCTCAAAATCTACTTGCTTTTATTCTTCCTGTCCTGTACGTCTCCGGAGGAGCGTACAGGCTTGACATTCTCAGTAAGTTATCCCAGTTGCTCTTCACTTGGGGGGGGCAGCTTATTTATGTAAAAACAAAATTTCTTTCGGGTGAATGCTGGAGTGTTTCATATTGTGACTGTGGGTCCTGAGCCATTTTTTACGACTTTGTGGCCTTTTTTAACTACTGTATGTCTATTTTTGCCTTTAGAGCAGAACTCTGAGCCAAATGAAGGCAATGTGAGGTTGTTTGGTTCTGACAGCCCCTCAGAGGGCCGTGTTGAGGTCTTCCACGATGGGAAATGGGGAACTGTGTGTGACGACAACTGGGATATTACTGAAGCTGAGGTGGTTTGTCGTCAGCTCAACTTCCCTGGAGCCAAATCTGTTGTCGTTGGGAAGGACTATGGACCAGGTGCCCTTTGCTTTTGTTTCTCCTCCACCAGATGGCAGTAAAAAGTGCAGATTTCTTGATTTTAGAGCAGCATTTTCATTTCTCAATCTATGATTTTTTTTTTTGTGTGTGTGTGTGTGTCCTGTATATTTATTTCTTTTTAATGTTTTTACCATTGTAGCATCTGGACCAATTTGGCTTGATGAAATTACCTGTGAAGGGCGGGAGAAGGAGCTCGTGTCTTGCAGGTTTAGTGGATGGGGAATAACTGACTGCTCCCATAAAGAGGATGTTGGTGTTATCTGTGAAAGAGGAAGTAAGTTAGGAAAACATATTCCAAGCACTCATGGGAAATTAAGTCTTGTTTTATCTATAAGTGCAACTCATTTCATGCTGAGAGGGACAAATACAAAAGTATTTGTTTACATATGTGTTATACAAGTATATGATGTTGATCCCTGGTTTAGATAGCTGAATATAAACTGTATAGCAGGACAGTATTACATGAAGTGGGTTAGAAAATAAGTCCATCAGCTGAAAAGTGCGCAATTCCCTTTCATAAAGAGGAAAGAAGCATGCATGCAGTTCAAGTCATGCAGGTGGATGTTAAATAATGTCCTTTAGCTGATTATTTTACTTTAAAGACCACTTTTGCTGCATAGCAGAACCTATAATCTTATGATAAACCCTGATGGAAAGGTATTATGATAATAATGAGTATCCAGTTGAGGTGGAACTAAGGGTGGATGAATGGCCATGGAGGTCAGCAGAGGGAGGCTTCCTATAGAGATATTCAAAGTGTTCAAACCTCTTCGCTTATTTATAACTCAAGCATTGAAATCTATCCATTTCAATCCGTCTCCTAAGAATATTTCAATGGTGACCCTTATGACGGAACTGCTTCCATTCAGAGATAACAAAGATCTCTTCTTCTCTTCCACTCCTCTGGCTGATTACGGTATTTGTTTGATTCCAGGTGATCTGACAACAGATGACTCTACTCACTCACTGGACCACAGCATTGGTCTCTCAGGTGACCTTGGTCAGATCTTTGACAACGGTACGGCTTGTGATTTTTGGATCATCTTTCAGACCCCTAGTGGAAACAGAAAGGATGATGGGACACCAGAGATGACTGAGACTACAATTTGTGCACACAAAGCGATCCTCATGTTGTATCCATACTTCAGTGCTTCAGTGGAAGCAAATAACATCACAATTATGGTGAAAAAACCCTGCCAGCCGTATTTAATCTCTTTTATCAGGTAAGCTTGAGCTAATTTGTTATATTTTTCATTTTAAACCACTTTTTTTCTTTATATATAATTCCCAATCTGTTCCTTCATAGGTATCTCTACACCCGTAAGACTGATGTAACCCATTCCTCTGCCATGTGCCTCCATCAGCTTGCTTCAGACTTCGGAGTAAAACAGCTGATGGAGGACATAGGCCGCCTCTTCTCTAAAATCCTCCCAGATGATGCTTCCTTTTACTCCCAAGTTTCACTTTACAAATATGCAGTCGAGTCAAAGGACCTTGTCCTTGAGGAAAACTGCATCCAGTATCTGGCCTGGAACTTCCAAAACCTCACAGGTTCCCCTGTTTGGGCCAGTCTTCCTGGAGAACTCCTTCGTTCCCTACTTGTCCGCTCAGATTTGGTGGTACCTGATGAGTATTATTTACTTCAGACTCTGGAAAACTGGATCACAACCAATGCAGACTCCCTGACTTCAGAAAGCCAGGCCGACTTGCTCCGTCTGGTCCGTTTCCCCATGATTCCTGCCGAGAAGCTGTATGAGCTGGGCTCCACTTCTCCTCTCTATAAGACTCACAGGGATGTTTACCTTGACAGTGTCTTGAAAGCATATCAGTTCAATGTTCTACTCTACAATAATCAAACCAAATCACAGTTAGGCAAGGAAAGTGATGATTATAAACCAAGAATCTACACAAGTGAGACCTGGAGCATTGAAATTGATCCTATTACCAAACCTTCGGGGTCTCGAAGACAAAACCAGTACTCATCTTACGAATATAGAAACCGCTATGGTCATTATTATCCAAGTCCTACTTCATCCCCTCAAAACAAACAGCTGATAACACCTCTCCACAACAGCCTTCTGTTTAAGAACAACATGATCACCTGGGATGTAAATGTCTTCAAAACCCAGAGTGACTGTTCAAGGTACGGTGTACGGTGTGAATCTATTCCTGCAGTCAGACTGGCCCGCAGAAACCGGTATTCGTCAGAAAGCAGCGTAGTCTTCCGTAACCGCCTCCTGATGATCTGCCAAAACAAGTATGTCGCTCAGATACAAGGGTTCAAAGAGACCATGGCTTATGTGATTTCAAACATTACCCAGGTCCTTGCCTATCCCTGTCCTGACCACAAGTACACTTACAGGTTTGTGGTGAGACCTGAGTATCTGTGATCCAATGAAAGGAGATAAGGAGATGGCATAAAATAATAATAAAAACAAGCATATTTTTCACCTTATATCAAGTTCAGCATATTTGAAAAACCAATAAGCCTCCCATTTAATTGTTGCTTTGATTCCTAATCAGTGATTTAAATGATTAAAAATCAGACTGAATATCAATCAACAATAATATATTTATATGTATTATGATTTTGAAAATAAAATGACTCCAGAAATAAATGTCTGAGACTGCACTCTATAGAAATGTGCTGAGAGGATGGATGGATGGATGGATGGATGGATGGATGGATGGATGGATGGATGGATGGATGGATGGATGGATGGATGGATGGATGGATGGATGGATGGATGGATGGATGGATGAGCTTTAATTGGATGTACTCTCAAAGTAAGTTGTCTCAAGGTTGTCTGAAACCAAGCCCATTTTAGTTAAGAGGTAGTTTGATCTGGTATATTTGTACTGAAACATAAGGAAATGTGCAGTACAGTGGTGTGGTACCATCATTACCACACAACTACAACACAGAGCTGCACCTATCATATATCAAAGTTATACACAGGTTGTTGGAAAATGACCAACAAAGAGTTATACAGTAGTACAATAAAGTCAAAAGTGCTCACCTTCTTCTCTTGTGTAAAAATACAGTTGTCTCCAGACATGGACACAATTATTGTAAATAATTATGGAAAGAAAAACCTTCAATGGTCAGAAATAACTTCAATCTGAACAAAGTAACACATACACAAAGTTTTTTGTCTTGTATGGACGTAAGTGCACATCCAAAGAAGGTGTACATGTTATGTACCCATGTTTATGTTAGGTGTTTATGTAATGTGCTTATGTTAGGTGTATGTTATGTGCTAAGATCTCAGGAGGAGATCTTAGATGGATCAGAACCCCTCTGTAAATCTTGAGTGGGTATTCCTTAGTCCACAAAGGAACATGAATATGGCTGTACACAGACATACATCTAACATCCAATCTGATGGAGCTTGAGATGTACTGCAAAGAAAAATATAGGTCACTACCTAAAGATAGGCGAGCTAAGCTTGTTGGATCAAATATGCACGTAATCGATAAGCACCTAACACATACACCTGACATATACACAAAAACATATGCATAGACACAAACTTATTTTTGGCACTAATGGAACCCCCCGTAAGTGAACACACAAAAAGTCAAACATTACTTTTTAACCATGCTTCAACAGACTAGAAAATAAACTCATGAAATAGGAATGGACAAAAATGATGGTACCATTAACATTACAACCTTCTGAGGCAATCACTGCAATACATTTTTTGATTATTGTGTTCATAGGGAGAATACAAAAAACAAAAATACTGATCTGGTTAGGCTTAGATTTAACTGAAAGGAAGTCCTGCATAAGCAACTGAATTTTTAAAGCTCTGGTATTCACAGCACTAAAGTGGCAAATAGCTTTAGAATTTAAAAAGAAATTAAAACATAATAAATGTGTAAATTTAAATTCTAATAAAGGGGGAGTGTCTGCATATGCAGATCCATCATCTAAAATGTTTTCCAGCCTCCTGTCTTTATCCATCTCCCTATCATTGTTTTTCTATTAACAATCTGTGCCCTAATTTGATAAAAAAGTAAGCAGTAGAAAGTGCAAATATATGTTTTCAAATATAGAGTGTAAAAATCCTCAGAAAAATGAATACTCAAGTAAAGTAGACACACCAAAACAAGGTACTTAAGTACTATAAAAATATATAAATACCTACTTACTTACTCTACACTATTACTCAGACTTTGTTTTATAGCTCAAGTAGTTTTAACTATAAAAGCATTCAACAAAACTAAACCACAGTGAATATGATAAACTTTAAGAATAAAACTGTTTTCATGTTGATAAAGCCTTACACTCTGTGAAAGCAATGCCACGCAAAAAGTAGGAAGAAGTTGATTTTCTGCACCAAACCATCCAGGCCTGCTGACAGAACGCAATGTATGTAATAAAATGGCTGAGCAGAAAAATTGAGTCATCATTCATGCAAGGCTGCATTGTGCAATCTCCCCGGTGAAGGATCTTTTCCAGGTTTGGAAACATGTACCTTTAGAAAAACCCTTTCTAACTGAACAGTGGTCAAAAGACATGCTCATTGAGCATTAATTACAGACTCATCAAATAAAACATTGAGTGTGACAGTTCCCCCCTCCTACTGGAACGTGGGATATTCCCAAACGTTTTTTTTTCCCCAGCAAATAAGGGCGGTTTTATAGTCTTCTTTCATTTCCCACAGCCCCCAGTCATTGCAGTATTCAGGTCTGCATGCAAGGACATGTCAGCTGGTATTGGCCCTGTCTAGAACAGTGACTAACGGAGGTTTTAGAGATGTCTGTGGCTTTAACAAGCTGGTTGATCGCATGCAAAAATGGATGACCGCTGTGTTAATTTAATGATGACTTCTCCATTATGCCCTTTTAAATATGTCTAAACAATGAGTTTGGTTAAAATGGCAAAGTGTTAATAACAAACAGAACTATATGGTTAAAAAAAAAAACATAGTTTGTGTTCGCTGGACAAATATATGTTTGTAAAATGTATGTGAAACCCATTTAACAGGAAACTGATATTGGAATGATACACAATCCATAACCAACATACTATGCTTTAAAAAAGTCTTTCAGTTAAATTGAGGTTATATTAGGTTTTTGAACTATAATATTACCTATCATGGCAGTGTCTTTCTGAACATCTTTTGACATATCCACTAACCGTTATACAGGAACTTCAGCGCTCTTTTTCCTTGGCAGTTGGCAGGTACATCAACAGGTTGCTTCATGCTTCCGCTTTTTGTGACTCAATGCCAGGAAGCTGTAAAAAAAATAAAAGTGCAATCAAGTGATTTGAAATCAAATAAGTATTTAAGATGTTTTTAGCCTTTTTCTTTAATCAGTCATTCCTATAACAATTATACGATTGCATCTTAATGAAAATGTTTTTAGATTCCAATAAAGAGGTTGGATTTTTCTCTGAAACCATTAATTAACTGGCACTTAATATACTGGTTAAGTTTTACTAGCTCGACCCAAGCATGATTACTGGATTAATGAACTGTTCTCACTCAACAAAGCGGATTAGAATATCTAAAAAGTAACATATTGTGTCCCGATATAAAGGAATGGATTTTTTTTTAAATGTCCCCGGCAAATTTTTATCACGGAAAGGGTAACTAAGCCATTTCTAATGTTTGGGAGTGACTGAGTCATAATGACAGCCACTGTCCACAGATGGAATAAACATGGAAGTCATGAACCTTCCCAGAGGTGGTCATCATAATAAACTTTTCCACAAAATAAAAGCACCTCAAACCCTCTGAGGAGATTACAAGAGACTGTGCAAAGACAGCCAAAACCCACTGATGATCACCAAAAAAGATTAATGTCATGAGCTGTTCTAGACAGGGGCTAACAGGGGCCAGTGCCCCTATAGAACTGGTCCTGGCCACTGCCATAGCCCCTGTACTAAAACACACAAATCAGAAATGTAATGTAAGTAGGTCAAATTTGAAGTGAGAAAATTTGCAGATGTAAAAAAATGCTTTATGTTTAAAAAAAGAAAGGGGGAAAATAAGTAATAAATAATAAATAGTTTTTTTTCTATTAGATCAAAAGTGTGCAACCGTGGCTTAATTCACATAGTGAGCAATGCACTCTTGCTAGAGATTTTTTTATGTGTGTGTTATTCTTTTACTTGAATCCTATCTAAATAAAACTTAATAAAAATAAAATAAAATATTGTGTGGACTGAGACTTTTATGTCACAGGTGAAACAAATGCAACATTTAAGCAAAGAAAAACAAACAAATTTGATTAAAGTTAAGCAAGGAGAATGCAGTGTGATGGTATGGTGATTTAATTCTTTATTATCTCAGTTATATCCCATGATCAATTTAACATTAAATTCTGCATTAGGTAAAATATAACAGATGCAGAATGTCAAATTAAATGTTTGTGGCCTTTAAGTCATACTTCCTCTGGGTTTGCACAAACACATTACATTAACAATACAACATGTGAATGGATAAAAGGTAAGGTGGGAAAGTTGCTTTCTAAACAGGTCAAAACATGCTTTAATTTATTCCTGTGCTGTTGTGCAACAAGCTTTAACTGTCAGCAAAGTTGACTGCAAATTAAACGGAAAGCTAAACTTTATTGGGTACAACTGTGACATTGATTGTTAAAGCAAACAGCAAGGTTCAAACCAAGCATAACGAAGGGGACTCTAAAGCAGTGTTTTTCAACCCTGTTCCTCAAGGCACACTGATCTGCATGTTTTAGATGTTTCCTGTCACGTCTTGGTTGTGGTTTAGAGGACCTAAATGCAGAGGCAAAGAGGCTGAGGTGAATTCTTGTAGTTTTAATGATGAAAATAGTTAACAAAGACAGGAATCCAAAAATCCAACTAAAAATGTAACACAGACCAGAACCATGGAGACATCAAGGCAAAACACGCACAAGGATCCAGGGAGAGACGAGGTGAGAACGACAACAGCGATGACAGGACCAGCAACAACAAGGAACCAACAAGGAGTGACTGCAGAGGGAGAGTATTGCTCTGTTCAAAAACCTGGGATGCGTCCTTAGAAGGCCAGATTCGAAGGCCGATTACGTCATAGCTCGGCGCCGAGGTCTGGTCGGATTCCAAGAGTCCTTGTTATGCGGCCTTAAAATGCATCCTTCTTTTTGCCCGATTTGAAGGACGGTCCGATGTATCCTTGCTATCCTTGGTTTACCCAGGATTCATTGTGAGACCAAGCAAGCCGGCTGCTCCGTGATCAGAGGAAAGGTTGCTTGGCGCCGAACAGTGGTGAAAATTGGAAGTTCAGTTTAATATAATACAAGTCTGTGAATAGATTCGTCTGAAATGAATGAAAATAGTTGTTTTAATGGTTATTGAGTCAGATATGTGGCTGTAATGTTTGGTTTATCTAAAGGTTTTTATCTTAGGGTGACCAAACGTCCGTATTTCCCGGGACATATCCGTATTTCACGTCCTGTCCCGGGCGTCCCGGGTTTTTTTTTAGAAAGTGAGGAAATGTCCTGATTTCACTGCGCACGCCGCTCCGTGTGACGTAATCCCTGAGCCGCGTCAGTGCAGGCAGCCCTGCTCTTAATCAGAGGCTCTGTTCAAAAACCTGGGCTGCATCCTCCAAGGACGCGATCTATCTAGACTGGATCCTTGAAAGTCCTTGAAAATAAGGAGGCCGGAAGAGTTTTGGCTGTAAATTCGAACAGGTCAACCCTTCGACGGGTTTTACCGCCGTATGCTCTGTTGCTTAGCAACCGTGAAAGTTGACACACAAAGCAGGAAAAGAATGAATACCGAGGTTTTCAAAACTGTTTGTTTATTTATTTATTTTTTTTAAAGTTAAAGCGAACAAAGACTACACTCACAAGAATCCAGAGTGGGATAAAGGTTCCAACCACTGGGAGCAGGAACAAATAAAATCAAATGTAATGATAGAAACTTTAGTCAGTTAAATAACATGCTGATGTCATTCTGCACATCTCTGATGTTGCTGCTACTTTCAAATATCCATTACTTAAAAATGTCCATAGCTGCATATTGGTTATTAATTCTCCAGTTTTAAATTGTTAAAACACTTTACAGAATTTTATTTTTTATATTTTAACTTTTCCCTATTATGTTATTCTTATACATTTCTCTAAGGTCCTCATTTGTGTGACCATTTTCAATAATCTTTTTGCTGCTGTAAATCTGCCCATTGTGGGACAATAAAGGGATTTTCTATTCTATTCTATAAAAGGGTTAGAAATATATAAGTAAATCTAAACAATGTATCTACAAAATATATCTGCAAAATCTCTAATATTCAACAACAAAAAATACTTAGTTAAGCATATTGTGCAAAACAACAATAAAAAAATTAAACTCCTATCAGATTTATAGTCCCCACGCTGCAGATCTATTAGAATCTGTCCTTAAATTACAGCCAAACTCATTTACACAGTAACAGATAAGAACCTTTAGATAAACCAAACATTACTGCCACATATCTGACTCTATAACCATTAAAACAAGTATTTTCATTCATTTCAGACGGAACTATTCACAGAGTTGTATTATATTAACTTCCAATTATCACCACTGTTCTGCGCCAAGTAACATTTCCTCTGATCACGGAGCAAATCCCGATGATGAGACATCTGTTCTTTCAATCAATCCCCCCCCCCAAATGAAAATATGGTCACCCTATTTTATCTGTTACTGTGTGAATGGGTTTGGTTGTAATTTAAGGACAGATTCTAATAGATCTGCAGAGTGGGGACTATAAATCTGATAGGAGTTTAATGTTTTTATAGCTGTTTTGCACAATATGCTTAACTAAGTTCTTTTTTTTTTTTGTTGAACATTAGAGATTTTGCAGATATAATTTTGTACATACATTATTTAGATTTACTTATATATTTCTACCCCTTTATAGAATAGAATAGAAAATCCCTTTATTGTCCCACAATGGGCAAATTTACAGCAGCAGAAAGATTATTGAAAACGGTCACACAAATGAGGACCTTAGAAAAATGTCTAAGAATAACATAATAGGGAAGAGTTAAAATATAAACAATACAATAATGTAAAAACAATATAAAACTGGAGAATAAATAACCAATATGCAGCTATGGACATTTTTACAGTGATGGATATTTGAAAATAGCAGCAACATCAGAGATGTGCAGAATGACAGCAGCATGTTATTTAACTGACTAAGGTTTCTATCATTACATTTGCTTTTATTTGTTCATGCTCCCTGTGGTTGGCACCTTTATTCCACTCTGGATTCTTGTGAATGTAGTCTTTGTTCACTTTATAATCAAAAATATTTTTTTTTATTATAAGTTTTGAAAATTTCGGTATTCATTCTTTTCCTGTTTTGTGTGTCAACTTTCACGTTTGCTAAGCAACAGAGCATACGGCGGTAAAACCCGCCGAAGGGTAGACCTGTTCGAATTCACAGGCAAAACACTTCCGGTCTCCTTATTTTCACGGACTTCGAAGGATCCAGTCCAAGTAGACCGCATCCTTGGAGGATGCAGCTCAGGATTTCGAACAGAACCTATATGTACAGTAGCTGACTGAGATAATGGCAGGGCTAACGAGCTGACAAGGAGCAGGTGTGAGGGAGCCAAGGGGATAGGAACACACACAAGAGGGCAAAAGAGAACAAGAGAAAAACCTGAGAACTAGCATAAATCTAGAAACTACAACTAAATAGGAATTAAACCAATAAAACTAGGAAACATGGAGCAAAGTAAAGCACAACAAAACCAAAACCATGACATTTCCCTGCTTCAGCACACCTGATTCAGAGAATTGGAGCTAAAAAAAAAAAACTTTTAATCTGCTATCAATTGATATTAGGTGTGTGACAGCCTGGAAATATCCATGGCTGTGTCCGAACATCCGCCCTTAACCCCTAGATCCCTCAATCACTATATAGAGTGGGGAACACATAGTGGACTTTATAGTGACTCAGTTAAAGTTATAGAGGACGATCTTTTATGGATCATCTAAATAAGTGGTTTTCCTTTGCAAATCATTCTGGTAATATGTTTATGTAAGGCCGTCCTATTTGCTTGCCTTTCTGTTTTAAAGGTTTAAAATGTTTTAAATCAGGTTGGGTCAAGATCCGGACCACTGTTTTCTAATCCGTGACGGGAACCTGAAGTTTGCAGTGTTAACTGAACTGTGAAGATTGTCTAATTTTGCTGTGGTTATGGAGTTGCTGTTGTTCTCGCTCATTTATGGCAATGTCTTTTCTCCGTTGTAGGCTTGTGGGATATATGAATAGCACTGGTTGTAATATTGAGACTCTATGTGCCAGATTTCTTCACTAACAGATTTTATATATTAAGCTAACGGAGGTGATGTTTATCGATCTGCCGGGTAATATTTATTCTTAGGATATTGATGATAATATCATCATTAGTATCCTGTATCCTAAACTCATACACTCCTAAATAAAGTTTTTATTCATTTCCTACCCAAGCAAAAAAGAAATCTGTGGAAAAAGATTCGTTTGAGCTTTACCAATTTCTTATCTATCTGGTGTTGTGAAATAAATCTGTCTAGGTTAAAAAAAAAAAAACAGCTTTTGAAATAAACTGAAAGTGAAAGCCGTTATTCTCTGAGTTGTTTTTTTTAACATTTGTTCATTTTACTGATAGACATTTCCAGTAAATCCACCTTCACAATGGCTTTCCTATATTATGTCCATCAAAACAAAGCTGGGAAATCAGGGAGGGATGATAACTCTGGTGACAGAATGTAGGTATAAATGTCACATCTCTTGTTCTCGTCTCTAGATTTTTGCAGGAGAGCTGTTTGAAGAGGAGGCTTAAAAAGAGAAGAGCCACTACAGATAAATATCAGAGGGAAAAAGGTAGGTGTTTTTATATAAAGGAATGATTTTATTCACATATTTAAATGGTATATCCAATAAAATGTTTTGTCAGAAAACAGATGAATTTGAGAATCTCCTTGTCTTTCAGAAAACAAAGAAACTTGTAGGACTTGTTCAAAACATATGGCTTAATGAACAATAGCATGTGGCTTTTTTTAAACATGTGGCAGATGGTGTGGCACACCTTAAACTCCTAACTAATACAACAGAATAAAACTGTGGTCTGTGACCACAAAGGGTCCTTAAACAATAAATAAAATGGGGTGCTACTATTTTAAATATCTTAACTATTTAATAGTGCCACACATGCTTGTAGAAAATATAGCATGCAACAATTATAGTAATTTTTCTTACAGTAAATCAGGGATGACAGTAAGCCGGTGTTACACCATATTCTGTGACTTTTTGTATATTGTGACCCAGGAGGGTCATTGCACAGCTGTCTCAACCCTCGCCACCTGATTAACAATTTGTGGCTGATTAGCACAACTTTCAGGATTTTTGCAAAACTTTCTTTATTTCTACCAAAGGAGTCATACTTTTTCTTGATTAATCTAAATGGAGAAGCTAAAGGCTCAAAATCTACAATACAAAAGTGGCATTTAGTTTTTATTCATGTATATTTTAGATTAGGTTATATTAGTCTATATCTAAAAAAAACATCTTTATTTGAATGTACAAGGTGTAAGAAAACCATATGAGCAAATAGATGTATATATATATATATATATATATATATATATATATATATATATATATATATATATATATATATATATATATAGTACCCACAAGAATTTTCACAGGAAGAAAAAGTACACTGTTCAATTTAAGGGAAATGCTACAGATCTGGAAGTAGAATTCGTACAAATGTATAAATCAAAATTTGGTATTTTCATGCCAAATGTCTGGCAGATGCAGATGTGTAAATTTTATGTCTAAATCAATTTTTTCTCATTTTTTCTGTCTTCACTCAGATGAACTCAGAACCACTTGCTGCTTTTTTCGCTGTGCTTCTGTGTCTCTCAGAAGGGTCCTACCTGTTCCACAATCTCAGTAAGTCATTTAAGTTGTTAGAGACATCTTTGCTTAAAATACATGTTTGGTGTTCAGCCAAAATCAAAAAAATGTGTAGACTTACATTTAATCATACTAATAGTTTTTCATGCATGTATCACTTTTGTCTTTTCTTGTCTTTGTCTGGTTTTGCTTTTAGAAAGAAATGAGCCAAATGAAGGTGATGTGAGACTGTCTGGGTCCAACATAACCTCAGAAGGCCGCGTTGAGATTTACCATGATGGAAGATGGGGATCTGTGTGTGATGACAATTGGGACCTGGATGACGCCCATGTAGTTTGCCGTCAGCTTAACTACCAGAGGGCCATATCTGCCATGTCTAATGGAGTCTATGGACAAGGTGCCATTTTTTCCATTTTTCCTCCACTAGATGGAAGCAAAATACTAGCCATTAATGAAGAGCTGCACTATTAAACTCTCCTCACGTTTGGTCAAGTTCAGTACTTCTTGAAAAGTTTGATATTTGATAGTTATTTCTTCCATTATTGTAGCATCTGGGCCCATCTGGATGGATGATGTCAACTGTAAAGGGACAGAGCAACAACTTTCATCTTGTTCATTCAGAGGGTGTGGAAAGCATGATTGTAGACACGCAGAGGATGCCGGAGTTGTGTGTTACACAGAAGGTAAGTTGATTCTAAGGCAGGAAAATTAATTGTTTTGTCACCACAAACTATTTGTATAATTATTAAATGAGGTTTACTTTTAGTTCTAGATCATAATAAAGCCCTTCACGACTCTATATACTCCCTGGACCACAGCATCACCCTGTCAGATGACCTTGGAAAACTCTTTGACAGCAGCAGCGCTTGTGACTACCTAATAACTTTCCAGACCCCAATAGATAAAATGCACGAGTATGTCCACCCAGAGGAGAATGAGACAACAATCTGTGCCCACAAAGCGATCCTCATGTTATACCCTTACTTCAATGCTTCAATGGGGACTAGTAACATCACAGTCACTGTCAACAAAGCCTGCCAGCCATATCTCTCTTCCTTCATAAGGTGCAGTGACATTTATCTATGCTTGTGTGTTTGTTTTGAATACTTGTTCTTTTGAAAATATTTCACATTTGTTCCTTTACAGGTACCTTTACACCCGTCAGATCAACATGACCAACTCCTCTGCCATGTGCCTCCATCAGCTTGCTTCAGACTTCGGAGTAAAACAGCTGATGGAGGACATAGGCCGCCTCTTCTCTAAAATCCTCCCAGATGATGCTTCCTTTTACTCCCAAGTTTCACTTTACAAATATGCAGTCAAGTCAAAGGACCTTGTCCTTGAGGAAAACTGCATCCAGTATCTGGCCTGGAACTTCCAAAACCTCACAGGTTCCCCTGTTTGGGCCAGTCTTCCTGTGGATCTCCTTCGTTCCCTACTTGTCCGCTCAGATTTGGTGGTACCTGATGAGTATGTTTTACTTCAGACTCTAGAAAACTGGATCACAACCAATGCAGACTCCCTGACTTCAGAAAGCCAGGCCGACTTGCTCCGTCTGGTTCGTTTCCCCATGATTCCTGCCGAGAAGCTGTATGAGCTGGGCTCCACTTCTCTCTATAAGACTCACAGGGATGTTTACCTTGACAATGTCTTGAAAGCATATCAGTTCAATGTTCAACTCTACAATAATCAAACCAAATCTCAGTTAGGCAATGAAAGTGATGATTATAAACCCAGAATCTACACAAGTGAGACCTGGAGCATTGAAATTGATCCTAGTACCAAACCTTCGGGGTCTCGAAGACAAAACCAGTACTTACCTTACGAATACAGACACCCCTATGGTTATTATTATCCAAGTTCTACTTCATCCCCTCAAAACAAACAGCTGAGAACACCTCTCCACAACAGCCTTCTGTTTAAGAACAACATGATCACCTGGGATGTAAATGTCTTTAAAACCCAGAGTGACTGTTATGACTATGGTGTGCGGTGTGAATCTATCCCTGCAGTCAGACTGGCCCGCACAAACTGGTATTCGTCAGAAAGCAGCATAGTCTTCCGTAACCGCCTCCTGATGATCTGCCAAAACAAGTATGTCGCTCAGATACAAGGGTTCAAAGAGACCATGGCTTATGTGATTTCAAACGTTACCCAGGTCCTTGCCTATCCCTGTCCTGACCACAAGTACACTTACAGGTTTGTGGTGAGACCTGAGTATCTGTGATCCAATGAAAGGAGATGGCATACAATAGAACTAAAAACAAGCATAATTTTCACCTTATATCAAGTGAGACCTGGAGCATTGCTCTTAACCCCTTGGAAAAGCCGCCAACATAAAGTCCAAGTCCGAGCACTGACACAACCGACCACAATTATAACGACAAATATGAAGATTTTTCCGATGACGATATCCAATTTTATGACAACACAATAATTTCAATCCCAAAAAATTGTTTTAAAACACTTCTCCACAATAGTCTTATGTTTAGGGTCAAAATGATTGCCTGGGACGCAGATGTCCTAACATCCCAGAGCGAGTGTAATACAAAAGGAGTGCAATGCAATTCAGTTCCTGCAGCAAGGCTGGCTCAGCAGAATAGTGATAACTGGAGGAGTAACATCCGCTTCAATAACCGTGTCTTGCTGAAGTGCCAGAATGGGTACATCTATCAGATTCAGGCCTTTGACAGTATGATGGCATACATCAGTAATGATTCTCAGCCTCTTACTTATCCCTGTCCTAATGACAAGTACATCTATACATTTGTTGTGAGACCTGAGTATGTTTAATCATGTGGGTAAGAAAAAAAATAAAAATTAGTGTGATTGCTTTATATCATAAATGTTTCACTGACTCAGATCAAGAATCAAAAATGCTTGTAAATGTTCTCTTATCCTTTCCTATAATCTGTTGTTTCTATACTTTTATTCTGTATTTCAAAAACATATTTGGGGAAAAGGTTCAAATGATTCAAACTGTCCCCATTGAGTTTTATTGGAATAAAATGTCTGATTAAAAGAATAAATGGAGTAGATTTCTGTATGTCTGTCTGTCTTTTAATAAATAATGATCACATTATTTAAGGTTTGTAAAGTTGTAAATCTTTCAAAATGCTTATCTTCTTTGTCTAAACCATTTATTTGTCCACCAGAAAGCTTAACAGGAAAAATCTTTATAGATTTGTGTTTTTTGATATGTTTTAATTCATAATCCAAAGTGCGATAGTAAGTCTGTCATAGGACTTGAAAAGGGCATTTGGAAAAGAGACGTCCTCACAGTCCTATAGATTTATTAGAAACTTATACCAAGCAAAGACACCAAATATTGCAAGAGTAAGAAGTTGAATATGAAAAAATAGCAAAAGCCGATATTCTTGTTTTTTCAGTTGGTTTGTAGGGCATAAATCGGCGTATGGGAGAGCGCTGAAGTGATTTGTTATAAGTTTTCACATCAAAAAACAGACTTTCAAAACCCACTGTGTATATTATTTTTTGTTAAACCTATTGAAATATATTAAATATATATATATATATATATATATATATATATATATATATATATATATATATATATTTTTTTTTTATTTTTTTTTTTTTTTCACTTTAATAAGTCGTAAACTTTTATTTATAAAATTTTACAGCTTTATTTAAACACAGTGTCTTAAGAGTATTTTTGAGATACATAGATGAATGCAAGCAAGTTAGTATTTGTTTAGTTTCACATCAAATCATTTACATTTTAAAAAATTTGTGTGCAAATTTTCCCATGCTAAATGCATCCCAACTTGGAAATAGTCAAGGTAAATGCTCATTTAAAATATTTTCTCCCTTCCTACATTATTTCTGCTTCATTTGACATCATCAGTTGCTATTCTGAAAGAGAACAGGTTTGTTTTGAATAACATTGATGATTATTTTCTTAATGATTCATGAAATCCTCCCTGGTATCTGTTTTCACCACCAAAAAAAAAGTTTTCTCTAATCCTACGTTTCCACTTCAATTAAGTGAGTCTGCCCTGCATGCACGGGCATGTAAGTTAGCATTTAAAACACAGTGACTAAGGGGTTTTTAGAAGGTTTTGTGTGTGCACATAAGTGTTTGATCACATGCAAATAATAGGTGATCATTGTTTATGTTTAAATGTGATTCATCCAGAAATACTCCTCATTCTGGGGTGAACTCACAGCAGGACAGTCATGGAAAAGATAACATTTTTAGATGTAAAGAGTTACACATCATAACCTATTTACCCTAATAAAAAGTTCAGGTATTTTATTGTAGTTTATATTTTGGGTCTGACTAATCCTTCGTCATAGTTTAATAATTGTATTTTTTTTTACCCATAAAATGTTTCCTTCAAGAAGTCATGTTTTTATTTTTTTGTTTTTAGACTCACACCAGAATTTGGAAATTCTTTTGAGTTATGTTTATTAACGTAGCTCTTGTCATTAGAGATTTATCTCATGCCAAGAGCTCAACTACAAAACTTCCCAGTTTTCACAACTGGTAACGGCAAAACACAAACATGTCATGATAAAACACACCCAATGATGAGGATTAAGAAGGACTTACATGGCATGAATCCACATTGATACAGGTAACGTTCAATGAACCTACAGAACAATAAACAGATGAAATAAACTGGAACAACCAATTGCTGGTGCAATAAAAACATTTTAACATAAAGGAGGAAAAATAAATCTGTTTAATTCAGTTTATTTATATGGTGCCAGTTCAAAATAGATGCCATCTCAGGGCACTTTACAGAGATAATTAAATAAAATTGCATTGTATAAACCTCTTTTCCAGTGCATGCCTGCACTACAAGATTCAAATGCCATAACACATCCCTTTAAAACTAAATAATAATTGATGGACTGCCCAAAAAGAGTAAAACTGTTTTTAAACCCTGCTGATCTCAGAGCCTCCAGTATTAACTTCTGGTTAGGTGTTAAACCCTACTGACAAATAAATTTTAGTTTCCCTTCTATTGAGGCCTCATTTTTCCAAAGATTTCATGAAGTCATTTTTAAAATCTCATATCATTATGGTCCAATCTTGCAGCAAAATCCTATTGCGAAGATGTATTTATTATAATGTTTTGCAGACACCACAGTACACCTTCAGGATTTCAGTGTAGCTGTTACTTTGATGGGTCAGATCATCAAAGAAGATGCACAAATTAAAAAACAAAAGTCTATGGCATCACAGTTCTAAGTATTCACATATACTCCGCATGAATTTACATAAGTGCACTTAAACTTCACGAAGATAAACCATTATCGACAAAACTAAACAAAATCTGTCCATTATCTTTGTCTGTGTTAACAAATATTCAGATCATCTCAGTATTCTAAATGGCCACATAATCTCCACCGGATGTACTTCACATTTATTTGAACTGCTGGGCATGTAACATCAAATTTCATTAAAAACAAGACAGTAACATCAGAATCAGAATCTGAAATACTTTAATAATCCCAGAGGGAAATTACTTATGTTACACGCTCCAGTTACAGTTTTATACAATATATACACACATCCAACTATACAATATAATAAAGATAAAAAAATAAGAATAAAAAGAGATAAAATCACAACAAAGGTACTGTACATTACCATGAAGCCAAAGAACACTATGAATTCTACCTTTCCCAAAATTAAGCACTTCATCAAGTAACCTACGTCCCTATACCTAGGAGATCACATAACATTTTGAAAATGTAGAGCAATGTTACAAGCATTGCTAGATACCCCAATGTATTGGGAAAGATAAGAAACAAACAGCAGTTTTATTTAGATAGTAATGACTGTTTGGCAGACAACTGAAAAGGGGAAAATAACTATAGTCCATAGATTTATTGGTATTTTGAAATTTACACTGTGTAAAATTGAGATCATTAAATTTCTTTCCTTTGAATTCATTAAAGGCTTTTCCTGTGAAAATCATTTCAGCCCAAATAAAGCTGATTAAATCTAATCTGGGACTGATGTTATTGGGCTATGTAAAGGAAATGAGCACATAATTCTTTATGGACATTTGCAGATGGCCATGAGGTAAAAGCGAAAGTTCCTGTGAGCATTTATGTTAATTGCCCAACAAAGGATTTCTTGCGAAACCCTTAAGGCTCGCAGGAAATCTTGTGAAACCTTCCAGTCAACTCACATTGACTAATATGGTGGGATCCCAAGTTGTAGACAGGTCAACTCGATTGACCTTTAAGAGTGTGATGTGGTTGTATTATTTACTGTTAGAAGAGCTTTGTAGCAGATGTTTTTTAACCTCCATGCTAACCCTCAAGCAGTATTTAGGGCGGATTGCCTACATTGTCACCGTTATGTGTATGGATGGACTAATGAATGGAAAATTCTTTGGGAATCCCCAATTTTATGAATGGTTCATCAGTGAAAAAGCTGCAATATGGTCAGATCATGCACAATGGGTGTAAGTACCCGGGAACAGGGGGCGTGAGTTAGGATGTGGGTCTCAACCACTGCACCCACCAGCTCTCCACAATGAGACCCTCTTTTATGCCTTATTAGGTTCTTCCTTTAGAGACTATTTCTGGCTAAGAAACTCTGTAATTTAAGGCTTAGGTAAAGGCCAGTTCATCAGGGCAATTTCAAGCCTCTATTTAGCATTTCATGAAAGGAGGCAGGTTACATTGCACTTTTTTGGACAAATCCACCCTATTTCAGGAAAATCAAAACCAAATGTTGAAATAAAAATCTTGAATGAAGAGTAAAGAAGTGGCTACAGTGAGGGCTGCAATACGGGAATACTTTCCGAATGGTCAGCTTGTGAGGTCATTTAAAATATGCCCAGAAACCTGTTGATCCAATTGACCCAATGTTTTAGCATCGTTGTGCAAAAGGAAGCCGAATGTTTGGATAAAGGGCTGGCAGGCGATTGCCCAGAAGGCAGCATCTGGTGCCTTTCTGCTGCCTCTGGTAAACCTCCATAGTGAGAGAGAAGTGAATTCCCGACCAGTCTCATTTGGGATGTGTCACTTCCTTTTGTGTTTCTCGTCCTCTGCCTCATACCCTGATGTCTGTTATTGTTCTTGATATGCCTATGTTTCTGGTAACTTCCATTCTGTATACGAGTCATACAAACTAATTGGGACTTTTCATTATATAACCGGCAACACTTTACAGGGAAGCAAAGTTTATGTTGACAACAGGGATGATACATTGTTTGTATCATTTTCCCTCTGGCTAGTTTTCAGTCAGACATTGAGTGAGAGACCTGCAGAAAATAACCTACGCAAAACTGCTAAACTATGGAAAACAGTGGAAATATTTGCCAGAGTGGTGAGACCACTGACATCCAGCTGCCAAATATGATGTCAGTAAGCAAAGCAGCACCAGTCTTTGTTCTATCTGTTCCCTTCACTTATTTTTAGTGTCAATTATCAACACTATCAAAAACAGCTATTTTACATCATTAAGAGGTGCTGTAATAGAAGTGAAACTTCCAATGAAGCAGCAGTCTTTACACGTGTCTATGTTTAAAGTAATTCAGGAATTTGAGAATATGTTTCTTTCACTGAGTAATGGAGGCTTTTGGGTTGCTTACACTGAGGGAATAAACCAGACTGAATCTATTAAGCGTAAGTGGATGATGTCACTCTTCACCACAGTGCCAAGTCTCCTACACACCTTTTTTTTTCAGTAGTTACTGAAAGCGAGTCTACGTATATAAACACTCTCACTAAAACAAATCACTGATAACCGCAGCGTGGGATGAGGGTTACTCATTGTTGTTGGGAAATGTAATTCAGGATAACAGTAATTTTGAGTTGCAGGTAAAATCAAACTTCTCAAACAAAAA